TGTTAAACAATGAGTGATGAATTTTATACTTTTTCTGCAACTAATGAAAATTTATATGATTTTCACCTTTATTCCATTAATTTGGTAAATTGAAAAACTTAATACTAAACCAATTTTGACTCCTGGAATAAATGTAACTTGGTGCTTATGTATCATATTTTATTTACATTACTGGTAGCTATGATTTACTAATATATTATTTAGGTCTTTTGAGACTGGGTTTATGAGAAAGATTGGCCTGTCATATTTTTTCTTACAGTGTTCTTAGCAGGTTTTTGTTTTGTTATTCTCCATGTAAATCTGTATAAAATTGATGTTAAATTATTTTTATTACATATTTGTAAGTTCTGTTGGAGGCATATGAACATAGAGGATTTTTTTTTTTAATGGGAAAGTTTTAAATTATACATTGAATTTCTTTAGTATATATTTGTGTTTTCAGATTTTCTCTTCATCAGTTTTATTGTTTTTTTTTTAAAGGAGTTTGTTCATTTCATATACCTTTCAAAATTTATTGGGCCAAAATTGTTAGTAATATTCTCTTTAATGTTAGTAAAATCTATATATAGTATCATCTTCCTTTTCATTCTTAATGTCAGTATTTGTGCCTTGATTTATTTTCCATGATCAGTCTTGCTAAAGGTCTGTCATTTACTTTAGTTTTCTCAGAGAACCAGATTCTTTGATTTTTCATTCTTACACATTTGTTTTCTTTTTCATTCATTTTTGCTCCATTTTTTGTTATTTCTTCTTTTCTACTTTGGGATTAATTTTTTCCTATTTCTAATTTCTTGATAGGAACGCTTGATAAGAATGTTTGCCTGCTTGTTTTATCAGTTATTGAGAGAGTTCTGCTAAAAACCACTTGATTATAGATTTGTCAGTTTTTCTTTTGATTCTGTCAGTTTTTGCTTTATATATTTTGGGGCTGTTTTACAATATCCCTTGCTAATTTAAAATTCTTAAGACTTTTTTTAGTAGATTATCTTATTTATTACTGTATAGTGACCCTCTAGCTTGAGTAATGTTTCTTGTCTTAGATATTCTTTGTTAGATATTTGGATAACTTTATAAGTTTTGTTTTGGTTAGTGTTTGCATGTTTTTTACCCTTTTACTTTAGCCATTCTGTGCCTTAGATTTTAAAGTACAACTCTCATAAACAATATAAGATTTGAAAATCTCCTCTCATAATTTTCTGCCTGAGGAACTTTCTTCAGTGTTTCTTTTAGTGTGGGCCTGCTGATGACAAATTGTGTGTGTGTGTGTGTGTGTGTGTGTGTGTGTGTGTGTGTGTGTTTGAGAGAAAATGTCTTCACTTTCCCAGCATTTTTGAAGGATGGATTTGCTTAGTTGAGAATTCTAGATTGGTAGTTAATTTCTTTCCCCATTTTCTGTTGAGAAGTCAGCTGTCAGTCTTATTCTTTTAGATATTCATGTGTCTTTTTTCTTTAGTAGCTTCTAAGGTATTCTTTTGTCTTTGTTTTTCAGTAGTTGGTATAGTTTTCTTTGTATTTATCCTGTTTTATATTTAACCTTTAGCAGTCTCAACTGAAGCCTGGAGTGTTTATAAAGGGTCCTCTTCCTTGGTAAGCTCTGAGCTCCATTTTCGGTATTCTTTTGTCTTTGTTTTTCAGTAGTTGGTATAGTTTTCTTTGTATTTATCCTGTTTTGTATTTAACCTTTAGCAGTCTCAACTGAAGCCTGGAGTGTTTATAAAGGGTCCTCTTCCTTGGTAAGCTCTGAGCTCCATTTTCTTCTTCCACTTCTGTGCCATTGCTTAGGAATTTATATCTCAGAAATGTGCATATTCCTCAAGTGGGCTCTCTTCTCTGTAGTTCCTTTTTCTCCAGGATCTTGGCCTCTAAGTCCTGGCTGGACCAGTGATCCTCAATGCCAGCTCCAGGAGACTGCAGTTTTCTGAGTTGCTGTTTCCTGCCATGTCATTTAGCTAGCCCCTCCAGTGTATGATGAAACCTACACTTTGTGGGGGAAAAGAAGGCGCTTCCCCGCCTCTTACATCCCGGTTGCCTTAGTGGCTCTCCATTGCACTCAAACAGCTGTCTTACACATTTTCTCCAGTGCTTTGTGGAAGAATTTGTCTGATAATAACCTATCCCATCATAGTTGGCAGTGGAAGGTCTACATGAGTTTTTAAAAGATGGCAGTATTATACCATTATTGTATACTACTGGAAGTGAGTCTCTAAGGAGGGATGATACTGATGCCAGCCAGGGAGAGAAGTGCCAAAGTGATGACCCTGAGGAGACAAGAAGTGGTCAAATCCAGTACACAAGGGCATCGGTTGGCCTCACTCATGAGTTGGTCCATCCAGGGCTAGCAGGAGTCAGGGCAGAGTATATGGGTCCAAGTCCTGGAAGGTGAGTGTTGTTAGAATTTCTCTTCTGAATGCTTCTGTTTTCTTAGTAAGTTGGTATTAGGATTGGTAGGAGGTTTTGAGATTTGAGGAGAGAAAGAATTTAGGAAATGACTAGGATGAGTACATATAGAAGAGTCGGAGCAGATAGACTAGGGAAATACGGTAGGATTGCTGGGTAACAGCTCTCTTGAGGTGAGTGGTCATGAATTTAAGGGATTTGAATTTAGAAAGTAATGGAATTGAGAAATTCTAGGTCTCAAAGAAGACTTTGGGTACTGCAAAATGATTTTGGGAAATGTTTGAGATTTGAGGATGTATTTCCAAAGTAAAAGCAAAAAATGTAGTAAAATTTTTAAAAAGGTAGTCTGGAGGTTACCAATATTTAACATTCCATGGAGAAAGATAATTATTTCTAAAATAAACCTTGCATCTTGAAGAAGTCTCACGCCACTGTTGAGCAGATAAGGCCTTCAGACCTCTCTGCTGGGTCTGATGTGAGTGAAGGGGCTATAGGTGCCCGCCTCGATTCCCTCTGGCTGCTGGCGAGGCTTCCAGTGGCCCAGCCTCTTCAACCCCAGAATGTGGTTTTTCACAGCCTGCCGTGAAGTCCCAGAATCAGAACTGGGGTGTATGTTAGATGATGGTGGAACCCACCCGGAGGCAGTTACAGGGTCTCTTCCTGGATCACATCACCCGGAGCCCCTGGCCAGGGCCCAGCAGCCTTCTTTTCTTCATTGCCTTGGCTCCTCTTCATGCCATTCATCTTTCATCTACTCCCCCCACCCCCCACCGTGTTGCACAGCATCTAGCCACTCTTATTGACCACTATTTAATAGCCAACTTGTACTAAGCAACATTTTATATTCTTGATTTAGGTTGTAGTCTTAGTTTTAAATGGCAGTGAGTTGAACCATTTATTATTTCTTTTAGCAAATACATCCTACTAGTTTAAAAATTTTGGGGCCCTGGTAACATTTTTCTTCTTTGGTTTTAATTCTTCATGGAAAAATTAATTATGAAGACATATATCAGGCATCCCAAAACGATTAAAGACTGACATATTGAGAACCCACCACCCAACTTAAGCAATACAGTATTACAAATAAAATTGAAATGTACCCATTGCCAGTCACGTCCCTCCCAACCACCAACTGAATTTGGTATTTATCATTTTCATGTATGTTTTATAACTCTAAATAGCATTCTTATTTTAAAAACATGTATAAGTGGTTATTTACTTGTGTATCATTCTGTAATTGTATTTTTCCTTTAGTATTACTTGTTAGATTTATCTGTATTTATACTTTAATTCTTTCATTTTCATGCTTAAACGTTAAACATTCTGTTGTATAAATATGTCCTAGTTTTATTTATTCTCCTCTTGATGGATACTAAGTTATTTCCAATTTTTTTTTCTTCTGTATATGATGCATTTAATGTTATTGTACATATTTTCTTGGGTTTGTTTTTGAGAGATTTTCTAGGGTATATATACCTGTAAGAACTGATGGGTTGTAGGATATGTGCTTTGTTAACTCCAATTCTCTCACCCTGTGATCATGTGTGAGGTCAGAATGCCCCACCTTGTACTTGATATTATGTGCAGTTATGATTATTTATAATGGAATAAGAGCTGAGTGATTGCATTCTGTACTGTAGTTTTAGTTTGTTGTTTATTTGTCTGTTTATTTAAATTGGAACCAACCTTTTCTCAGATCTTTAATTTTATTGAAACAAATGTTCTTCATTGAGCTCAGAGTTAATGATCCCTTAAGGAATTCCATATATTTAGTTTTCTCTATTCCAAAGATATGATTCAGTGATAAAGTCATAATTATGAAATTGTCATTTTCTTCAAACTTCATTTTTTTATTTGTATTTTTTTAAAAAAGATCACTGGTAAGGGAATCTTAACCCTTGACTTGGTGTTGTCAGCACCATGCTCTCCCAAGTGAGCTAACCAGCCATCCCTATATAGGGATCCGAACCCGTGGCCTTGGTGTTATCAGCACCACACTCTCCCAAGTGAGCCATGGGCCAGCCTTAGTTTCTTCATACTTTAAAACTAGTGATTCTCAAAAGTGGTCTGCAATCACCAAGGCAGGCATCCGTGTAGTCAAAATGATTTTCATAGCACTAAACATGATTTGCCCTTTTCAGTGGGTTGGCATTTGCAGTAATGCAGCAAAAGAAGTGGGTAAAACTGTCAGGGTCTTTGTGAGAACTGAGATGGTGGCACCAATTTTGTAGTCATCTATGTTAACAATGGGTTTTCTTGTATTTTTAAATGAGTACATTAAATTTTTAAAGTCTCTTAGTTTCAGTTTTTAATAGAGTAAGTGTTGAGTAATATAATCCAAACATAGTCTCTTCCAAGAGTGTGAAGGCGTCCTGAGACCAGAAAGTTTGAGAAACATTGCTTTAAGCACATGGTAGATGTATAAACAAATATTTTATTCTCGCTGATAATGGTTATTGGGAAGGGAAACGTAGGTAATGTCATTCCCTTAGATCAATTCAGTTGATCTTCAAAGTATGTATTACTCTTAAGTAAATTTTAAATTGTTTGCCTTAAAAGTTTGTTTATAACTAGGTTGTATTTGTAAATAAAATTCTTTGCAGGTGCTGACCTTAAGGAAAGAGCCAAAATGAATTCCAGCGAAGTTGGTCCTTTTGTCTCCAAAATAAGAGCAGTGATTAATGATATTGGTAAGCACAATTAAATTTTCCTTTCAGCATGCTGAAGATGATCTTAAATGTCAGATTTAAAATGTTTCATACCATCTTCAAATAATTATGTAATTAGATAATCATGACCTTACAATTGGTTGCTTTAAAACAGCACTTAATATATTTCATGTGAAGAATTATGTAAAATATTTTATAGTTACAGATGCCTCCTATGTTTGATGGCATGGCATATGAAGATATTTATTAGAAAACAGAATAGTTTGGTATAAGCCTTTGATGTAAAATATCTGTATACAAAAACATTTATAGATTTGGATTTTGGGGGAGTTTTTTATGTAAGTAGGATCATATTGTTTCCTTAAAATTACAGTACATATCAACTTTTTATTATTACTTTTTAATTTACTGCTACATACTAATCCACTGACTTATTCAGAATTTTAAATTATTTCTTCATTAACAAACATTTAGCTTTTTGATTTGTTTTGTTTTGGCTATTTGTGTTATTTATAATAAAGTGTTGAATATCCTTGTACTTAAGGATAAATTCCTAAATATGAAATTGCTGTCCCAAGTGTCATGTTTTCATTTTATATTTTAATAAATTCTACCAAATTATATTCCAAAAAGATTGTGATAATTTATATTCCCATCAGTTATAAGACAGTACCTCTTTTCTCATACTCCTGCCAGAATTTAATGCAGCTATATTTTAAGTTTGTTAAGGTTAAAAAAAAAACAAATCAAAAAAACCCCCCAAAACAGGCATCTCAACATTTTTGTTTGCATTTCCCAAAAATGCTTATGTGATGTCTTACCTTTTCAAATTAAGCTTGCCTCCCCTTCTGTAAATTGCCTTTTCACATGCTTCATCCTCCTCTTAAATGATTATTCACTAACTACTCATTTATTTAAAAGACATTTTTATATTAATGTTTTGTTGTTAAATGTGATACAGATATTGTCTTCTAATGTGCTGCCCTAGTTTGATTCCAATAGCTTTCAATTTTAAACTTTTAATATCTAGAAGATATTAGGTTTCCTTCATTATTCTTACCTGAAGATTTTCTCTGTCGATTCTTACACATCAGATCTTCCAAATGAATTTAGAATTAGTATGTTTTAAGGTAAAAGGGAAAAAATAATCCATTGAGACTGTGGTTAGAATTTCATTAAATCTTGTTAAGAAATAATTGATATGTTTGATATTGAATCCTACTGTTTGTGGTATGCATGGCTCTCATTTTTGGGGGTCATTCATTAGTATCTTTCAAGGAAGTTTTATGGTTTTCTTCATATTGGTTTTGGTCTTGTATCTTTTTCTCCCTCAAATTTACTCCTAGCTATTGTATAGCATTTATTCCTTTGAATAGGGTCCTCCCTCTGCCCCCTTGTATTGCAGTCTTATTATTGTAAGTCTGTAGGAAAGTTATTAAATTTTATGTGCTTATTTTATATCATGCCAGCTTACTAATTACTTCTGTTAGTTACTGTTCTTCCTCAACTAATTCTCTTGTGTTTTCCTGATGAAAAGTTTATTATCTATTAATAATTATCTACAAATAATGAAATTTTTATCTTTTCTTTTCCCAATGTTTTGCTGTTATGTTTTTTCATTTATTTTTACACTGGCTAGGGCCCTCAGTACAGTATTTGTTTGTTGAGGTGAGTGTGTTCATCTTTATCTTTCTTTGACTTTGGTGAGTGCTTATAATATTTTCCTGGTAATTATCAAGTTCAGGCAGTTTCATCTATTTCAGATTGTTTGGAGTTTGTTACTGGTTTTTAATCAAGAATAATTATTAAAGTTTTTCAAATGCTTTTTAAATGTATGTCAGGATTGTAATTAATACATAATAGAATTTACCTTAGTTAGCCTTTACTATACTGAGTTGTATTAATAGACTTACTAGTGCTGCACTGGCCTTATATTACTAGAATAAACCCTACCTCATCATTGTAGTTAGGGATTCTGGTGGTTTTTAATATGCAGGTATATTGCTAGGTTGAATTTCAAATATTTTTGGTATAATCGTAAATGAGATTGGTCTAATTTTGCTTTTTCTCTCGTTTTCTCGTTTGGTATCAAGGTTATACCACCTTCATAGAATGAGGTGAAAAGTGTTCTATTTTTTTCTCTTCCACACATAGAAGTCATGTTACTTGAAAAATTAGTAGAATTTGACCATGGAATAACACCTTTTGGGGTCTTGTGTGGTTTTGGTATTTAAAAAAAATTTTTTTAGAGCTAAAATTTTAAAAATATGTATTTTGTTTCTGTAAATGTTATTGCTTAGCTGCCTGTTCTACCTTTTCATTCTGTGCTGGTACTGTATAATCCTAGGTCCTTCCCTCCCTCTCTGTCCAGCTTCAACTTCATGTTCATATGTCTTCTGTGGTAGAGCATGAGTTTTGTTTAGAAGTTGGTCAGAGGGCTTGATTTTGGAGGTAAAGTTGATGCTTTCTGTAACTTTATATATATGCTAGGGGGGGAGTGGCTAAAACTGGTTTCATTGTTATAATTACCTTGATGTTTCCTGCAGAGTCTTTTTTTTATTTTATTGATTCTGAAATCAGAATTTTTTTCTGAGACTCTGTTGCAGTGACATTTCCTTTTCTGTGATTGTAGCTGTAACTTTTTCTGTTCTGGGTCTGTTACCAGATGGCAGTTACAGGTTCTTGGTCAAACAAGGGAAGAGAACTTTTCACAGGACGAGTGAAAGAAAAGGAAGAGGGACTGACAGATGGAATGTTCAAACTATAGGATTTATTGTAAAGTGAAAGTATGTGCAGTGAGGGAGGAACGTGCCATGGATTCCTAAGGAGGGGGTTTATTTGTTGTTCTGGAACAGGATGTTTCTCTATCCTAAGGGGAGGAATATTCAGCTATGGGGGAGGATCTAGGGTAATTAAGGCCTAACAGGCTGATACAAGGTTGCATTAGCTTCTTGTTGTGAATCCCTGAGTTTCTGAAGTTTTTGGTTATGCTCAGTCGGTTCATTTTTCCCTCAACTTTGACTTTTCCAGTCTAGTGTTATAGAAGGTTGGAAGGTTGTATAGTAGTTATCTGTACTTATTTTCCTCCTGGTGCAGAGATGCTGTAGTTTTTGTAATCTGCAAAGTTCCAGGTGTAGCATGTTGATTGGTACGGTGGTTAAGCTGTAGTCAACTCATTATGGGCTCATTAACTGTCAGACAATGAGGCAGCTCCTGCTGATTAAGTCTGAATATTTATGACAGCCTCCCTGGGGCATGTTTCTATTCTGTCCTGCCTCAGAGTCCTGATCCAATCTCCATTTTTTTCTCCAAGAGTTCCTTAATATTTAAGATACTTTTTATTATAACATTAAAATAGACTACATTTGAACATTATTTTGGGGGATTATTTAGTGAACTTTTGAAAGGCATGTAGAAACTAAGTATCTTAATCTAATCTGCTCATTTCATATGTTAAAAACAAGGGGCAGGCAAACTTTTTCTTAAAGGAACATATAGTAAATATTTTAGGCTTCACAGGGCCATATGATCTCTTTCACAGCTACTCAACTTTGACATTGTATTGGGAAAGCAGCCATAGATAATGTATAGACAAATATACATAGCTCTTTCCCAATAAAATTTTATTTATACATACTGAAATTTGAATTTCATATAGTTTTCATTTATTATGATATCGTGTTTTTATTTTAATTTTTTCTCCCAAGCATTTAAAAATGTAAACCATTCTTAGCTCACAGGGTATACAAAAAAATAAGCACTGGGTCTGATTTTCCTTCTTTTTGTCTTGGATGTCTTCTGTTTTCTCTATATTTCCCTGTTGTTTGGAATTAATTCTAGTCATCCATCCTTTTTATTTATTTTTTAAGTCTGCTGACTTCCAGTTCTAATTTGGACTGTTTAGCCCAGACCTTTTTTATTGGTTTTTGCTTTTTGGAGATTTAAAGGTTTTAAAGACTTCGTATTCTCTGGTAGGGAGCATAAAATACTGCACCTAAGGGTTTTGTATTCTTGGTGAAATTCGCAGAATAAAAATTGCGCATAAAACTTGGAAATGAGTAGGGAGGTGGAGGGAGTAGTAAGGAAAACAAAACAAAAACCCTCAAAAGTTTATCTAATCTTAAAAAACTGTGGAGAGGAAAAGGAAGCGTAAACTTAGGACACGTTAAGGAGTAAGATGTTGAATTAAGTCCAGTACTTACTATTAATGCCAGTTGACTAAACTTCCTGTTAGTGGCATAGATGTTTGGGCTGGTCTAAAGTTAGGGAGTTATCTCGGTTGATTGTTCACAGTCAGTTACGGATACAGATTGAGCTCCTTGTTCCATTCTTTTCCCCCTTTTCACTACTGCACTTGACTAGTTTTAAAGAAAAAAAAAAAGAAAAAATATATATGTAAGTTCAGATTTGATTTATTTATTTATTTTTTTT